AATCAGGATAAATAGTCTGGGGAGGCACAGCTGGGTGGGGGGAGATTTGGAAAGAAATAATCACCGGACGTCGTGTGTATGAAAGGTGTGTACAGGACGAGGAGTGACTAATCCTGTCCAGGAGCAGGGGTGCAGGAACAGGGTGGAGAAGGAAGCCTGGGGAGTTCACGGGAGAAGGCCGGGGGGAACAGTGAGCACACAGCAGAGGTTCCTCACACTACACTGTTCGTTAATGGCCGTGTGGCCGGGAAAAAGAGCAGGGGTGGGGAATGCAGCCGGGAAGGCAGGTTGGGGCCACATTTGGAAGCTCTCTAGTGATGGCCCAATAGGTTGAACTAGGAGCAGGCTTCGTGTGTGTGGAAGGCTGCGTGCTTCTCGCCTTCTCAGAAGAGCCCAGGTGCCCGCCCTTGACCCAGCTATTACAGTAATGGCAACAATTTAGACCAATCATTCCAGATTTCATGCATGCCTTTCACGTTATGAGTTGCAGGTCAGCCATGCTTAGGCTGGTCTTAAACCCATAATAATCCTCCTGCCTTAGTATCTCAAGTGCTGGGATTTCAGCGTGAGCCACAGTCTTAGTTTCCTTTCTACTGGTGAGATAAAACACCGAGACTGAAAGCAACCTGGGGAGGAAAGAGATTATTTCATCCTACATCTTGCAGACCATCATCCACAGAAGTCAGAGCAGGAACCCAAGACAGGAACCTAAAGTCAAGAACTGAAGCAGAGGCCATGGAGGAGCACTGTCTACTGGCTTGCTCCCTGTGCCTTGCTCAGCCTGCTGCCTTACAGCACTCAGGAACCCCTGCCCCGGGCTGACACTGCCACCGTGACCTCACCAGCTCCACCCACACCAACCATCAATCCATGGCCTGCACAAGGCCAGTCCGAGGGAGCCGTTTTCTCAGTCAAAGTTCCTTTCTGCAGATAACTCTACCTTTTTCTCAAGCTGATAAAAGAACAACAGCAGCAACAGCCCCTAAGCAGGACAGTCACCAGGCCCAGCTCTTTCGTTCCTTTTTAATGTTGGGTTTTGGTAAGAGCCATGTTAGACTCGGTTATTCAACTTTAACCCAATTTCCTCTAAGTAAGTTGTAATACGTATTCGTCTAACAAGCCAGGTGGGTGGCACATGGCTTTTATCACAGCAGTTGGGAGGCAGAGATGGGGGGGGTGTCTCTGTAGGTTTGAGGCCAGCCTGGTCTACGTAATGAGTTCCAGGACATCCAGGTCTATATAGAAAAACCCTGTCTCAAAACAAAAACAAATAAACAAACAAAACCAAGAATATCTATGCATTTAAATACACTCTAATTTCATGGACACGTCAAGTTCCATATAACACACACTGACACACACACACACACACACTGGCACAGACACACACTGACACATAGACACACACACATAGACACACTGACACACACAGACATACATTGATATGCATACACACACACACACATATGCGCGAGCGCACACGTATGCACGCACACACGCACACACACTTCTCCTCAGTGTTAGGAATGGAAACACCAAATGCTCTACCTCAGCCCAAAGCTTCATACTTTTTATTATGGAAAATTCCAAACAGTCAGAGAAGCGGGAGGGGATAGCATCAGCCCATCGCTACCTATCAAGCAGTTCAGAACTTAGACACTCACAGCCAGCCTCAGTTTCCTGGCCCCCTTCTCATTCTCCTCACACACTAGTGCACACTGAAGCAAATCCCACACACGACACAGTTTTAATCCATAAATGCTTCAGTGGACACCTTTATAAACTTTAAAAATACTTTTAAATCAGTTTGAATCAGTACCCCAAATGCCGTACTTTGCATTTGGTCAATATGTCTCAAGTTCTTTTTCAGCCATGATAGTTCTTGGCGTTTATTTTAACATCTTATTTATTACATGTGGGGTGGGGTCTATGCCTGGAGAGGTCAGAGGACGACCTGCTGGAGCCGGGTCTTTCTATCACATGGTAAAAGAATTTCCCATTTTCAGAATTTGAAAATTGTACTTGTTCCTATTTTTTGCTTTATATGTCTTGGTTGTTTGTTTTTCGAGACAGGGTTTATTTGTTGTAGCCTTGGCTGTCTTGGAACTCTGTAGATCAGGCTGGCCTCAAATTCACAGAGCCCTGCCTGCCTCTGTCTCCTGAGTGCCACCACCACCCTGTGCCCTAAATGCCTTTTAATCTCATGATTTTCCCATGAAGTGGCTGTAAGACCAATTTTTTTTTTCAGTGATGCTATGTGCAACAGGAGTACATAATTTCTTTTCCTTTATTTTCTCCTCTTTAATTTTCCAGATATGATTCCTAAAAGTTACAATATGACTCATAAAACATTTTATTTTTTGTAAAGATTTGTTTTATTTTATGTGAATGGATGTTTGCACACATGTTATATAATCTATACATATTGTATGTTATAAATATTAATATGCACCATGTGTGCTTGGTGCTCATGGCAGAAGAGGGTGCCCAGAGCCTCCTGGAGCTCCATGTGGGTGCTGGGGACCTAAGCCAGGCTGTCTGCAGGGGCAACAGAGCCACCATTTTATATTGCCCTGGTGGGAGCTGTGTGTGAGCCGAGTTGGCGGAGCACCTGCTCTGCAGGCACAGGAAGTCCTGAGTTGCATAAGCCAGGTGTGGTAGTGTACACTCGTGATAACCTGGCACGTGGGGGCAGGAGCGGCTGAGACGTTAAAGGTCGTCTTCACCCGGCGAGTTCAAGGCCAGTTCTATGCTATGAGACAGTCTCAAAAAGCCCAAACTATGTGAATGCATAAAGTGTACACGCTAATGATTTTCAGTCAGGTTACAGTGTTGTGAAGTGGTTGCCACTACCTAATTCTAGAACATTGAAATTCTCCCCTAAGAAGTTCGGTACCAGCTGGTTGTCCGTCCTGTTCCTCATCACCTGCCGCTGCTGACCTCACTTTCTGTATCTGTAGAGTTCCTTGTTCTGGGGGTTTCCTACAAAAGGAACAGTATAGTATATGTCATATTTTGTGTCTGGTTCTTTATTGTTATTGTTTTGTTTTTGTTTTTTTGAGACAGGGTTTCTCTGTGTAACCTTGGCTGTCCTGGACTGGCTTTGTTGACCAGGCTGGTCTTGAACTCAGAGCTCTGCCTGCCTCTGCCTCCCCAAGTGCTAGGATTACAGGCGTGTGCCACGGTGCCCGGCTTTTGTGTGTGGTTTCATTCAGTTTAGCATAAGGTTTTTAAAGCAGTCATGTCACAGTACCAATCTCGCAGCGTTCCTTCTTATGGCTGAGTAATATTCAAAAAAATGACCATGCCACGTTTTATTTATCCCACTGCCAGCTGGTGGGCATTTGGCATGGTGTCACCTTGGGCTGTCTTGAATAATACTGGTATCATGAACATCACGTCAGGCTTTCCTCTGAACGTATGATTCCCGTTCTCTTGCCGGCTGTCTATTTTTGTGACGTTGCAATTGTTGGTTTCAGATATCACCATGTTATAACGCCATAAAGAGAGCCCTTCTGCTCTCCACCAACGGCTACAGAAACCTTTCCCCTCAGCCTGTTCCTGGCTTTGGCCGTTGTTGTGTTTTTAAGGTTGGCTCTTCCTGGATTGCACGGTCTGGTTGTAAATATCTGGGCTGAAGTGATGCTCCCAGCGCAGTTGACAGGGTGCAGGTGCTTCCCATCATCGATGATTCTTGCCTAACCATGATCTCATTAGGTGTTGCAACGATTCTTGTAATTCTACCGCTCCATTTGCATTAATTGCTAAGGATTTTTCTAGACTGAATCATAGATGTGAGAAAAAGGTAAACTAAATCCATTTCAAACCATTGTTCGTTTCACTCATTTTTCCCCCCTTTGGGAATTTCTTTAAATTCATACATGTATTTTGATCATATTCACTCCCCTTTCAGTTTGTCCTGGATTCCTCTGCACCGCACTCTTTATATTGTTTTAAGTTTATTTTTATTTCATGTGTATTGCATATCTGTGTGATGCGTCAGTTTCCCTGCAAGTGGAATTACAGACAATTGTGAGCTGCCTTGTGGGTGCTGGGGATTGAACCCCAGTCCTCTGGAAGAGCAGCTAATGCTTTAACTGCTGAGTCATCTCTCCAGCCCCTCCACACCCCATTTTTATATTTTTTTAAAGACAGGGTCTCATATAGTCCAGGCTGGCTTTGGATTGGTTGTATTGCTGAGGTTGGCCTTGAATTCCTGATCCTCCTGCCTTAGCATCCCAAGTGTCAGGATTATAACCATGTAAAACCATCCTCAGGAAGAGAAATATTTGGCTTTTTTTGTTGTTGTTTTTTGTTTTTTGAGACAGGGTTTCTCTGTGTAGGCTGTCCTGGACTCACTTTGTAGACCAGGCTGGCCTCAAACCCACAGTGATCCATCCACTTGTTTCTCCTCGGGAATGCTGGGATTAAAGGTATGCACCACCATGCCCGCTGATAACCATCTTTTGCAGTGGGCTCCCTGTTTTTGTTGTTGCTGTTGTTTTCTTTTGTTTTGTATTCTGAGACAGGGTTTCTCTGTGTAGCCCTGGCTGTCCTGGAACCTGGAACTTGCTCTGTAGACCAGGCGGGCCTCAAACTCACAGAGATCTGCCTGCCTCTGATTTCCAAATGCTGAGATTAGAGGCATGCTCCACCATGTCCAGCTAAACCTGTTTTCTTAAATAACATTTTAAAAAAGTACGGTCCTGGAGTCGGGAAAAATCTCACCTTTTCCCAGGAGACCGAAAGTGCAGCTGCTTGACACCCGCAGCACAAGAATCCCTCCCGGGGTGGTTCAACACCCGACCTCGAAGAGGGCAGGAAACTGGCTCACTGCACCCTGGTTAGGTGGCCCACACCACCCATAGCTCCCGCCACAGAGGGATCCGACACCCCTGCCCGGCCTCTGTGGGCACCTGACCCTTAATACCCATTCCTGCACAGACACACGTACGTACATAGTTAAAAATAAAATCTAGGAAGACAGAGATTCCTACTTTCCCCTCTTCGCCCCTTCACATTTTCTTTTCCATGGGCGGACACAGCTCTCTGCGGAGGCCCTTCGTCTCCCACTCGCTCGGCCTCCAATATCATTCCTCCAAACTTCACCACAAGAGCCGTAGAGAAGGTAGGGCTGGGGCTCCAAAAGCCAAACTCCAAGCCGGCGAGGCCACGGCTCTGAGCTGGACATCTTCTGCGGAGAGAGACAGGGTTTTACGGAGAGACAGTTAATTAAACTTCTTTCCAACGCCTGCATTGTCTGCAATGAGCACGCATTACCCACAGTGGAATAAACGTGTTTAAAAACTAAACAAAAGAGACGGCGGGAAGGAAGGAAGCCCTGTGTTCTCCTCACTTTCCAGCTCCCTTTCCCCTCCACACGCGGCATCCTTGACTTTCTGTTTCAGGCAGAGTGGAACCTTCCCTCTGACTCAGACTCTCAAGTGTCTCCCACCCCCACAGGCTGCCGCTGGGTTGGGAGCTGGTGCAGAAGCACCCCGCAAAGGGCTCTGGGAGCCGGTCCACAGGAGACACGGTGGCTGGGAGGAAGAAGTGTTAGCCAGCAGGTGTGGCTGTCCAGTCTCTCGGACTAAACTCACCAGGCCTTCTATCCTGGCTCCCCAACCCAAAACACCACGTCCAATTTGGACGTCTTGTTATCTCTCAGGGAACTCTCAAGGGTGGGGAAGGTAGGAACCCTCTCCAGGCTCCTTCCTGCCTGGACTGGATGGAGAGCCAGGTGGAGGCAGCTCTTTAAGACCCAAGGCCTCACCTGACCCCTTCAGGCCCACGTGTCCAGTAAGGACTCTGATGGTTCGTCTGAATGAAGCCAAGCAGGTGCTGGCTAGGTATTACCGGTGTGATAAACACTATGAACAGATTTTTGGGTTCTCAGCCTTTCTGCGCAGGCGCCTCAAAGAAAGGAAGAAGCTGACTTATTGAGTCAGGAGGCAGCAAGGTAAAGCAGGCACCGGCAGGTGCGCCTCCTCTGGATGAGTCGACGGCAGGCCTGTTCCCTGAGACCTGTTCAAGAAAGCAAGTTCTCTTACACCGCACGCCATCCCCACCCCTGAGGCTCATTGGAAGAAGGTCTACAAGTTACATTTATTTAGTTAGCGTGGGTAGATGTGCCCGTTAATAAATGGGAACTAGTTCTGTCATAAGGGTCCTGGGGACCAAACTCAGGTTGTCAGACTTGGTAGCGGGCCTGTCACTTTCGGAGGAAGACATTCTGATGGTTGAATGACATCAGGAAAGGGCAGGAGAGGGCAGGAGATGCGATCTGGGGTCCTCTCCTTCCTGAGTCCTGCCCATCCACTCTTCAGTGCTAGCCTGCTGGCTAGCTCCGCCCAGAGTTCATTTTAGAGACTTCTGAAATCCTATGAGGACTTGCATCAATCTTCCCACCTACCCTGGTGGCAGCTTGATGCCACATTCTTCCTAGCCAGTGAGAGAAGTGGAAGTTTCCTCCTTTTCTCTGAGCCTCTCTTCCCCTCCCTTTTGCGGGGGAGCTGACTGCTCTCTGGAGGCTCTGAGGGATGCCGGGCTGGCTCTAATGTGATTTTGCCTAGATGGAGCTGGCAGCTGGGAACCACTTTCCCTCGGCTTGCCCTCTGCTGGGAAAACTCCATGACGGAGAGGCAGCTGGCTTGAAGCTGCTGGGCTGCTTTGGAGCCAAGAAAGGGCCACACACAGGAACATTCAGGCTGTAGACAGAGGCTGGGGCTGCCTTTCTTTTCCTGAGCAATCCCTAGAAAGACAATGCTTTGGGGGAAGGTTTGCTTGCTTGGAGCACAGAGGCAAATACAAAGAGGAAATCATGGAAGAGGAAAGAAGCAAATACAGCAGAGCTCGAGACCTCAAGAATGACGTGGGGCAGGAGCTCTGAAGGACACAGTCCTAATGCTGGGGCGGGAACCATGTGATCCTGGCTATGCTATAGAAGACCTTTGCCCACATCCTCATTCCCGATTTCTCATAGAACCGAGCAGGGGAGTAGTGGGAGATAGTCAATATTCATGCATTCCACAGATGTTCGAATAGAAAACCCACTCAATTCTGGAGGCTCTGTGATCTATCAGTTTTATTCTACGGTATCGGAAGCCGTAAAAGCCACTCAATTTGTTGGGCGCCTGATTGTGTAGAGAGATGTTTATCATTCTCCAGTGACATCCCCCAAAGGCTTCAGAACAGGTTTCTCTGGGTGGCTGAGGACTGACATGCCGGGGAGGAGATCCAAGCTGCATCTCCCTTGAGCCTTCGGCTCTCTGGGAACCAGTCCTTCCTCTCTGTACCAGCACATTTCTGTTCCCGGGGAGGCCTGGATGACACAGCCACATGTCACTCTGTGGCCCTCAGAAGGAGCCGTGTCCCTGGTGGAATTGAAAAACATCCTTGAAAGCTGCAACTTTTACAGGGAAGGTTACCATGCCAACCGCAGCCTCCTTGCCCAACAGGGATGAAAGGAAACAAGGCCCTGGGTGACAGGCAACCATTGTGTGTTCACAGACTTGCCTGGAATCTATCTGTGGCTCCTGACGGCTGCTCTGCAGAACAGGGCAGGGAAATTCAGGTTAGATTTCAGTGGGACTCCAGGACAGGCTGGACCAGCGAGGGTGGATTGGGAAATGCTCTTCTGAGAGTGATACCATCTCTTGGTGAAATGCGTGGGTGTGGTACCCACAGCAGGGGTGGGAGGGGAGGTGCCCTACATACCAGGTTCTGGCTGGGATGGGAACTCCACTTCACCGGGGTTCTTTTTTGCCTCTGCCACCCTTATCCTCTGGAGGAACTACAGGAGGGCGGTGGGCAGGGACAGCAGGTCACTGAAGCAGTGGCCAAGGTGACAAAGGAGTGTCTTTTGGGGCCACACATACCTCAGGTAAAAGGCAATACAATCCTAACTGGGCCTGGTGTCACTGACCGGCGAGCCCAGCTACTCTGGAGACTGAGGCGGGAGGATAGTAAATTCAAGGTCTGCCTGCACTAAAGGAGTTCCAGGCCAGCCTGTGCAACTCCGTTAGAAAATCAAAACAAAACAAAACAAAAAAACAAAGCACAAAACCCAGCTGGGTGGTGGTGGCACACGCCTTTAATCTCAACACTTGGGAGGCAGAGGCAGGTGGATCTCTGAATTCCAGGCCAGCCTGGTCTATAGCCAGAGCTACACAGAGAAACCCGGTCTCAAAAAACCAACCAACCAACCGCAAGGGCTGGGGTTATAGGTCAGTGGGAGGGAGAGCCTTTGCCTAGCTTTTGCACAAGACCTTGAGTTTCAGTCTCAATATTAAAGGGGTGTTGTGAAGGATGCCAGAGCAGGGTAGCCTGTCTTCACCAAGACTGGCCTTCCAGAAGAATGCCCACGTTCTCAAGCCAGGGGCTACTTCATATTAGACACCGCAGCACTCCCCCCCCAACACGTTTATTCTGTCTCATTTCATCACCACAAACCTGCAAAGCAGGAACTGTGATCCCCTTTACACCGAAGGCCTGTTTCCAACATTAACCCGCTGTTGAGGGGAGAAGCTGGGAAGAGACTTCCTCTGATCTCGGCAAGGGGAAATCCCGCTCCTTGGGGAGGCCTATCTTCTGGGCACGTCTTCCGAAGCAGCTCCCCGGTCCGTCCCTTTACCCGGAGGCAGTTAAGGGGAGCCAGCCAGGACAGGGCCGGGAAAACTGCCCGGCGCACAGCCACGGTGTGTCGACCGTGGGCCGCGGCCGCGCTCGGGCGTGCTTCCCCCGCCGCGGAGGGGCGGCCGCCCGAGGGCCTCGAGCGCGGGTTGCTGTTGGAAACAGGCCTTCGGTGTAAAGGGGATCACAGTTCCTGCTTT